CCTTTCCCAGCGGTCACTCGAGTTTGTGCTTCTTCGCCATGACTTATCTTTGCATCTACCTACAGCACAAACTCACCTGGAATGCCTCCAAGTTTGCGCGCAACTCTCTACAATTCTCTCTGCTTATGTTAGCCTCGTTCACCGCGTTGACGCGCATAATGGATAACTGGCATCATTGGTCTGATGTGCTTGTCGGCTGCCTGCTCGGCATGGCAATTGCGGTGATCACTGCGATTTTCCTCACCAAGGATTTTAGCACGCCATTGGAGCGATTACACGTAAACTTGCCGCGTCAGGACACAAGCACGACACTTGATGAGATCGCCGTCACGCCACCACCGTACACGATGCGAAATGGTGGAGGAAATGTGGCGCCGTCGCTGGATAGGAACAGCGCGGGTGGCTTCAGCAACGAACAGTTTAACTCGAAGGTGTGAATGGTGATAAGCGAAAAAAATTAGTTTTATTAAAGTACCGGTATAATGGAATCAATATAAAACTAAGAACACTTAAAATGTGGAAATAATTATAGAAATCGTGATAAAGTTTAATTAACTGATATCAAATTAAAAAGTTTACTGATAGGGACAGTCTGAAAAGTGGGAGAATTCGTTTGGTTAATTTTTTTTTTTTTAATTCGGTTATTTCGGTCGTTCGATCAGAAGTTATAACTTCTGGACTGTAAAATACACGTACATACAATTTAAAAAAGATAACCAAGCATGATTGAGTGAAATATGGCTCTAAAAAAAGTTTAAAAAATATGTATTTAAATAGTAATAAAAAATAAGAATCTTTAAAAAAAAATTTGTAAAAGTAAAAACCATGCCGAATTTTAAAACCAAGGTAGCTCCGCTGAAATACATAAATAGTTGAAAAGTATGCCAAAGAAGCCGCAAAGAGGTGCGGATAGTATTAAATGGAAGCAGTTTATGTTCTTCCACACACACACACACACACACACACACAAATCAATCAATTGTTTTTTGCGTTTTTTGCAATGTTTATTAAACAATGGCTACAAGATATTTATTTAAATAGTAACTGCTACATTTGATTTCAACTTTTATACATTATGGTATTTTTTTCGAAAAAAGCTCTTTTATGTAATAGTTAGTATTAAATAGATTTTTAGTTACATTTACCTAAAATTGGTTTTGTAAAACTAGAGACCAGTGAGATATTTATAATTTAAATTGCATAAGTAAATATGTATTCAATATTGAGGTTAAATGTCGTGCAGCTTTAAATAAGTTCCTTATCTTTAAGTTTATTAAAAATAAAAGTATTAAAAATTTTAAAACAAACAAACATACATTTTTGTGTAATTTTCACGGTACACTTGTGGTTGCTGTTCTGCAAGCTACGGTTATGTGTGCATGCAGATGCGCCTATATGCAAATATAAATCATGAAATATGTATGTACATACCTACGTATGTATATCTAGTGCAGAAGTACAAAAACGTTAATATTTTTGTTTTTATATGGAATTTAAAAATGAGCCGGAAATTATAAAAATAGATTTACCTGCAAAGTGTTAAATAAATAATTCAACATGTACAAATATCAAAAAAAAAAACAAATTTGTCATTCCATGCATTCTTCGTTGGCGCACGCTTAGCAACTTCGTTACATTGCTTTTTTATCGAAAGATGCTCGCAGGTGAATCATAGCGATTATAATTGTACACACATTTGTAAATACATACATTCCGATGCGCGTCATGCTACTGTTGGGTAAACTGCTAACGTAAATGTATGCGTATGTATGTACTTATAAGGGTGAGTACCTGGATGACAGTGTTGCCACAAAAAATAAATGCCAAATTCCTCAAAAACAAATGAAAAATGCTCAAAATCCGAACAAATGACTAAAAATTTGATATGATTATTATGTACTACTATTTACAGGTACTTAGTACTAAAAAAAAATTAATTACATTCTCCAATTCAATTGGTCACCGTTATTTTTTATGCCTTGCTTTGTATATAATATTGCTGCAACTATATCAGTGCCCAATCTGTTCTCAAGTCAATCCTACACATTTTTAAACTAGTAAATATACGTTCTACTAAAGCATTAAAAAGGGGCTATATTAGTAATGCAGATATAATTTTTTTTTTTTTTTTAATTGGGAAACTTATATGAACTTGAGGAAGCTTTTAATTCAAAAACTTTTCTTCTAAAATTTTATGGATTTAATGAAGAATCAATACGAATATCCTTATGATCGAACAGTGCGTGTTCTCTCCATTCGATATCGAGATTTTGAAGTTTAAAATATGTGGAAAATATAACGATTGATTTCCTGGCCGCCATGTTGACGCAAGAGCGAAAAATCGAACAAAACCAAACTCTTTTACATTTAGGGGATTCACAAGACGTGTTAACCGTCGTAAAATCTTAAGGTTAACATCGTTTTTAATTAAAATGGTTTTAGGGGATTTCTAACTAAACCGAAATTCTTTTAAACTGATAAAGAATATATAATTAGCCAACCCCCAACCATTTTAACCGCTATTTTACATAAACAAGTGTTAAGCTTAAGATTTTACGACGGTTAACACGTCTTGTGAATCCCCTGAATGTAAACCGGAATAAAACTAAAATTCTTTACTTGAACGCGTCATATTTGCATGGTGTATGGCGAAATGCGAAAAGTAGGTTTGAAGAATGTTAGACAAGCCGCTTGTATGGTGTATGTTACTCCTTGTAAAACTTCAAAAAGCTTTTTGTTCGAAAATTTCCAGAGCGATTTAACAACTCTGTTGTGTAAAACATGGTTGCATTTGTTATCTGCGAATATATCGAGAGAAAATTCCTCAAAATAAAAATCCTCAAAAAATACTCAAGCGCACCGGAAATTCCTCACGTTTTGAAGAATCACTCACAAAGTGGCAAATCTGCTGGATGAAAAAAGTAACTTGTTATAAACTAGTTCGATTGGAAATCAGCCTTGTTTGTTTAAATATATCTACGTATGATTCCAAGCTAGTGAGAAGCTAGTAAATTTAAGGTGGCCCATGGTCATTCCAGATTTAATGTTTCGACAAACTTTTACTAATATAGTCCCCACTCAGGCCTTATGAAACTAGTCAAAACTAAGCCACTTTATGTGTAGTCCTCGCTAGTGAGAGAATAAACTAGAGAGAATAAAAATTTGTATGTTTGGAGATTTCATAATCCTCGCGTTGAGTATATATAAATCTGTATACATGTATGCATCATCAAGCAGTTTCGTGCTTATTTATTTCTTATTGTTTCTTATTTACCTTCGCACGAGTACATTTGTTATGCAGATTCCTCCATATCCAAGCCTTCTACCTTTCTACTTATTTAACCAGCGTGTTAACTGATAGATTTTCAAAGGGATCTATGTACTATTTACATATGTATATAAGACTGACTCTTCAACTGTGTGTAAGTATGTACACTGAGAAAAAAAAGCGTTGTAAAAATGAAAGTTTTTGTTCGATTACCGTTTAAAAATGTTCGTTATTAAATCAAGTAAAAAGTAATAAAAAGTTGATTAAAAAGCCATATATCGAGTTATTTCAATCAGGATAAGTCTTTAGTAGTGTATATGCGCTACCAAATCGGCAATCTGTCTATATTTAGCCCATAATATTATTGGGAAAGGTATAGACAAAGGAGATAAAGTTGTGTCAAAATATGTCGTCAAATTTTGGCGACAAAATATGACATAGTGAAAACCAGCCGAAAAATTATGGCCAAAAAGTTCATGCACCTACATATATACACATAAATTTTAGGCTCTCTGCAGCCAAGGTGATCGGTGGATTTTTTGTCGCGCGGGAAACGCCGTTGAGAGATTCAAGATAGAAATGCGTATAAATTTAGTCGGTGCCAGTAATTTTATCTGCATATTTTTTCAGTAGATTTATGTATGTCCACAGAGTAAATATTGGGTGGGTCGCCATAAAGTTTTCGTATCAACGCGTAAACAAATGATTAAAATCTTGTCATGCCGTAAAAACACACAAGAAACTGCAGAGCAAGCAGTTGTTAAAAAGTTATAAAAAAGCTTATAAAAATACACTCACTTACCAAATTTCAGTCGGATATCTCGAAAACTGAGGGACTAGATTGTATACAGACAGGCGGGCATGGCTAAATCGGTTCAGCTCGACGTTCGGATCATATGTACATATAAGTATACATTTTCATGAGTCTATCTCTTCTTAATCTGGTACTGAAAAACATCGGACCAAAGTTATAATACTATTTCATGCTTATGAAAGGTATAAAAATGCAAGAAGAGGGTTGCCATGTATGGATATAGTACACAAGTTTTTCTTAGACAAGAAAGAATAGATTGAGCCAAATTTTCTTAAACAGTTCTTAAGAAATTTACTAGGATGGTTTTCTAAAGTTTTTTGTGAAGAGAGAGCACAAGTCCCCTTATGTTTTCAACAGAAATATGTATTGCCGTTTTTGGGCACTTTTAAAATTAATAGAAAAAATTTTTTTTATGTGGTCTCTGATTTTGAATAAAGGTAATGTTTTTTAAAAGTTCAAATGTACGCAACAGTTAAAATGAATTTTTAACGAATCATCATCGTAAATATAAAAAGTTCATAAAACTACACACATACATATTTGCTTATCTGAAAACCCAAAAAAGTAAGCATGCTGTTTTATTCATTTATTTTTTTAACAAATAAGTTACAATTCAAATTCGACTCTCATGTGGAAGACTTGAACAAAATCACTCAACCGAATAATGCAGCATTCAATGTACATATAAATGCAGTTCGAAACATTGAGCTTTTCTTTTCGAATTCCAATGCCACCACATGCGTGCGTCGCAAACTTAAATTTAAGCAAAACATGAAGAAATAATAAAATTATAACAAAATTGCAACGGTTTTCACTGCAACTCAAATGCACTTCGACGTACTCGTATATACTTTTGTTTTTGCACTACAGCTGCCATTCGTGCCCATTTGCTTCTTCTCTCCATTCGCCATGCCCGCTTTATGCCACGTAGCCGTAATTGCGGTATATCTGATCCTCGGCGGCGTTATTTGGTCCGTGGTGCTGCAGATACGGCACACTGCCAAATGTGTACGCAGGCAATGCCGGTGTCGCCGATTGCGCCGACGCGGAGGCTATGCTGGCATGCGCCATTATTTTTTCCGACGCGGCTAATGTGGATGTCAAGCACCGGCCCTCAAACAACTTGGCCACGTATCGCGCCACCAACCACGCAAATAGCGTGCCCAACAGTATACCCACCAGCACATCGGACCAGTGATGCCAGTGATCGGTGACGCGTGTCAGCGCCACAAGCCAAGCCAACATAACAAATCCAAATTGCAGCAAATTCTTGAGTAGCTTGGAGCCGCGTGTACTGATCGCCACTTGCAGGTACAATGCGATGTAAGCCATAGCGTAGAATGCGAGTGAGGAGTGTCCGCTGGGAAAGGACTTTGCCATTTCGGCCATCATTTTCTGGCTAAGATCATTTTCGCAAGTGTATTCGGCGAAGTATTGGCCTTCATTGAGTTCAATGTCACAGTTGGTGCCATCGGCCAGACGTGGTTTACAAATGCTGAAGAAGTATGGGCGCAGGCGCCCGATGGCGCGCTTTGGTATCTCGGTGGCGATTAGCGTCATCTGCATGCCCAGCAAATAGTAGCCGAGCTGTGCGTAGATATTCTTCCAGCGGCGTCCGCAGCGGCAAGAGTCGTCGTTGGATTCGTGCGCTACATGCCCATGCTGTTTGCCACGGCTAGGCGATAGCTGTCGAAAGAGTTCCACGGTGAGGATGACGAAGAAGGGGATGCCAAGGGCGACAATGCATAGCGCGCCAAAACCAAAAGTCTGTTTGCCGGTGAAGGGGTACTGCAACGACTCATCGCCACAAAAGAAGCCGCGCTTCTGTAGCGGCATCAAGTGGGACAGCGCGATCACGACGCAAATTAGTACGACAAACAGGAAGAAGTCGATGAAGCGACGCACCGTTATCATACCGGACATTTTGAGTACAGATGTGACTTCAATTTGGAAAGGCGCGAGGTGCTCTCTGTTGTTGGAATTCGGAGAGTATCTGGTGTTATTTGGATTTGATTCCCGTATCCTCTTTTATGCTACAAGTTGAATTATTTTTTATATTACAACCCACAATGGCCGAAATTGAATTTTGTTTGGCATAAATTCAAAATTTTTATAGCACTATATTCTTGATAAAATTTTTTTTTATAAAAGTACATACATATGTCAACCCTGTGCTTTCAGTGCGCTTTCAAAGGCAGGTGTATGATTAGCTGTTATTTTGTCAGAATTGGTACAAAATTGTTAGTCAATTGAGATGAGCTTGTGAAAGGTTGCGTTAATATAAGTAAACAAAATAAAGGTCAATGTAAATATCGTGTGTGTGTGTGTTTGTTTGTTATTATTTTATGTATTTGTAGTGCGTATTTAAAGAAAAATACTGAACAATATTTTTTTGTTCCGCGGAGTAGAACTAGCAAGCTGACAAGTGATGACGCGAACTAATAATAAACAAATGCTTGATAATAAATATATTTTATCTGAGTAATAGCAGATTTGCCAAATTTTTTTTAGTAGAGGTTATTATTATCTTTGAAAATGTAACTTTCTTTTCAGAATTTATGCCAAAAAATTTTAATTTCCGGCCAGTGTGCAACCTTTAGGAAAGGTATAAATAAGGCACTTTTCAACGTTTTTGGCAGTTAACTTTTGGAACTTTTTTCGTAAAATTAAGGTGTTTTGTATTTTGCGCTTGGAGACTATTCTCTAAAGCTTTCGTTCTTATGTTTTGTGCTTTATTGCCGTTTTAAAAAACTTGTGCCTAGTTTTTGGTAGTTTATGACTTGTGGATACTTTTCTGCTTGTACTGAAATTTAATCTCCTGTAGTACCAGTTTACAAAAACTTCCTCGAGTTTTTAAATTTTGTTTTTATTTTTCAAGCAAATTTCAATATTTAAAATTTTCTGTTTTGTTTTTTTTTCGGTTGAAAAAAATTGTCAAATATGATACTTTTGCTAATTAGGTATACAACGTCTTTTTTCGTTCGTTAATTGGAATTTTCGTCAACGTCAAAAATCGTACTTTAAAACTTGAGAGTTGAAATGTGCAAAAATTATATGCAATGTCACAACGGCCACCATCAACTGCATTCAACTACAGTTGTTGTACATACAAGCAACGAACGCGCTTATTGGCACCTCTACCGTTACTATCACTACCGATATTTCCAAGACGTTGATTCGCTTAATTTTTGCCGCACCGAACAACTCGCTCCACAGCCGCTTGAATATGGACTAACCTATACGTCGAATGAATGAAGATACAAATTGAAATGGGGCCCGCTACTTCAAACACCGGTTGGTGCGCGAATGTACTTAGCAGCAGCAGCGGGTCTCGATATCTCATTGATATCTAAGCTTCATTATGATTATTGCTATTGTTTGCCAGGTTGTTGCTTTTGTTGCTGCTGTTCTTCAAGTTTCGTTGTTTTCTCAGAGTTGCGAATACAGTTAAATTTAATACATTCGTAGCAAAAATGTTATCAAGAAACGCCCCGCTACTTCCTTCTCTGGAAAAAATAAGGTGACCCAAATATAAAGTGGGGCGCGACACTTTAGCAAGTTTTGGCTATTTTTCTTTAGTTTATTTAATGTTTATTATTTTCTTATAAAAATATAGCTGAATACTTAACCAACACCATATAAATCCAAACTTCAAACTTTGGGCAAAAATTATGACAATTCTTCAAAATTTCACCAAATTTTATAAATTTTTAATCCGCATCTATAGAAAAATTATGGTATGTAATTTTAAAGTCTATTAAATTTTAATGTATGGAGCAAATTTGGAATAGCTAGGACTTACCGTTGATTTTTGGCATTTTTTGTGTGTCGGGGTTACGCATTTTTTCCATACAAAGTATGTTCTACCGATTTTTTACGGTTCAACTCTGTGTTAGTAAGTACAAATGTAAATACAGTTGCGGTAAAAATAATGGCACCAATCTTCGAAATGGTATTTTTAGCAACTTATGTTTATTTATTTATTTTGGAGTCGGGCCCGCACGCTGGCCGACCAAATTATATCGAAATGCACGCATTTTTTTTTCATAGATATATGCAGAAATGTTTATTACAGAAAATTCTTATGCAAATCGATGCATACCCTTCAATGCATCGAAAAATATCGATGCACATTTCGATGCATCGAATCAGAGATAAACATCGATGTATTTTTGACACTGACATACTTACCGAGAAGCGATGACTTAAACCCGCAAATGTGTGAGTATTTATACGATGATTAATTCAAAACGAAGGAGAATTGCATACGAGGGAATTGTAATGTAAAATCCTTTTTGGCAGATAGAAACAATAAACGGATATGATTCCAAGCAAAAAGGAAGCAAGGAAAAGGATCACACCCTTAAATGATGAACGTGACATACATATGTAGCAGTTTTTGCAACTCAAAGGCTACTTGCGCGCGGAATATGTCCTTGATGATGCCTTTGGCTCTAACTTAAACAAAGAGTGCTTTATCGCCGTTATGTTTTGTTTTGTATGCGCTTACCTTTGTTACTAGCTGAGGTAATTTTCTATGTATGTGAAATGTATCTTTTTTTCTTGTGAAGAGTATTGTGCTTGGGGTACTTATTAATTCTTGAGACGTTCATTTCGTTTAAAACCAGCAAATTTTCGGTTTTTGGCTTGTAGTTCTTCACCACCTTATATGATTTACTTCTCAAGTACTTTGACGTCGACGTTGCAAAAATCACCTTGACTTCTCTTCAGTTGTCGAATAAATCTTTCGCCTTTTACTAAAGATTTCCGTGGAGAGGAGTATTTTAATGGGTCTATAACCAATTTTTGATAATGGCTCGACTTTGCTGGTCGAGCCTGCAATGAATAAATTAAAGTATATTATAATTACAAAGGCTCATAAATTACTATGCGGTTTCAATACAAGCAATTTGAGTCATGGATTGATGAATTTAGAATATAGCTTGTTATATGGCACTAAAAATGCTTCAAAGTGATATTTGTATGCTAAATAGTTATTTTTTTTCCCCCCCAAAATACCGAAATAATTTATTAAGAAGCAATAAATCAACTTAGATCTTATTTCAAGACCTAAAACACTCATGTATATTTGCGATCTCCACTTGTCACACTGTCCTTATTTAAGTATAATACATTTGACAGTCCTACATGCCATTAGTCATCTTCCATTGTCTTTCCTCATTATCATCTGCTGCCAATGTCAAAAGGGAATATAATAGAGCCACTATTTGAGCTCCTGCCGTTTTCATCACACCCCTGCAGTTATTTCATTTGGCTCATTTGGTTAACATTCCCATCATTTCGATTCTGTTTTTGTATACCCATCGTGCGATTGAATTCAATTTCGTATTCAATGCAATTACAAATTAATTTATTATTGCGGACAACCACCAGCAGTGTTCGCTGGTTTGTGGATAACAACAAGAACAATTCAACTAGCTTACAAAGTGCAAGTGATGCATCGAAATAAGTACACGTACATACGTACACGGATCTGCTTAGTTTGGGTTTGACATTTAAGACGAACAAGAAGCAAGAAGCGCCAGCTTGGAAGGCTCATCACTTTGCGCGCATGCGTGCCAACTATGTATGTAAATGTGGCGCGCTCTAGTCAATATACCATTGTTTAGTTAGATTTGATTGTTATTTTTGTTGTACAGCAGGTGGCCACTTTTGGACAATCATTTGACAAGACGAAGAAGGTTTTGTTTGTTCAATTTAGTGAAGATAATTTATTGTTGGCTAATTTGCTCTAGTTTTAAAGTAGTAAAAGGCGATGGCTAATTATTTGATAGCGGCAAATTAGGAAGTAAAAGAGAATGTCTATCAGTTTGTGTAATTAACTGAGCATGAAGTTCGTTAAAGGTGCTCATTTGTTCTGTCTTAGACGTTATTTTAACACTCGAAACGTTTAAGGTGAAATGATGGCTAATTACTTAACATAGAATAAATTGAGAACTTAACTTAAGAAGTCCTTTGTTTAAATTTTGAATTAATATACTTTTTAGAGTTGGATAGTTTACGAACTAGTTCATTCGTTGAACTAATTCATTGAAAAGAACGAACAACCTAGCTCGAAATTTAAGAATTTCATAAGCAGATGCAATATATGTTTTAAAGTAATATTTTTATTGACTGAGTTATTATAAAACACGGAGAAAAATTGATTTGCCATTTTTAAAAAGTGGGTTATATAAAAACGGGAAAACCTAAAATGAAAAACGGGAAAACCTAAAATGAAAAACGGGAAAAATATATAAAATTGCATGGACAAAAAAGGAATAGGCTCGCCCAAAACCAGGCTAGACTGCGCACGCCGCCAATTCAAATAACTCCTCTCTACGGAAATCTTTAGTAAAAGGCGAAAGATTTATTCGACAGATGTCAAGGTAAATTTTGCATCAAAGAACTTAGGTGTAGCAATTTGTAAACTGCAGGCGAGAAGTGCAGGCGAAAATGGAAAACAGTTCAACCATAATAGCTTAAAGACAATCATAAACACAAAAAAAAGTATAGAAAATATATTGCTTCTCAGGTAAGAGAGGCTTTTACATTCGCCGCTAGGATGTTGAGCTGTGCGCTACAGAGGATGACTCAAAGGATGCATTGTGTGCTTAGGCAGCCTTGAGCAGCGAAAAATGGTTCGTTGTTGATGCCATTGTATGTTTTCAACGCAAACTATTCTACCTCCTCTTTAAGAAAGGTTTTCAATGTCCTTACCTTCTTTTTTTGTTAGGAATTACTTTACACAAAATCGCACACAACTGCTCATTTGATACATTGTTTTCGTCCTTGATTCCTTTTTGCTAGAAATCTCAGCCGTTTTTGCTTTCGTCTCCTAAAAAGGATTTTACATTATTCCTTTACCGTTTGCAATTCTCAACCGGTTTTTATTCAATATCGTATAAATACCCACAAACTTGCTGGTTTAAGTTATCGCTTCTCGGCCTTATGGCTAAGATCAAAGTGTAGTATCTGTTCTTATCAGCTTAACATCTGATAGATCCTCCATCGGAGGACAACAAATGTTAAACTGATTTTTGGAATTAGACGGAGTGTTTTAGGAGCTTGCTCCACCTCTGTCACGGGTTGGCCCGGCATTGCAGTACAGCCGGGATTTTGGCCCAATCTAATGAATATATACAAAAGAGTAAAGTACGTGTTCGAATTCTAGTGAATATTTGTTGTAGAAACAAAGGATATTCGAAATATATGGCATGAATTTTTATCATCTGAAAAGCCAGTTGAATCTTATGAAATGGTAACTTTAATAAGGCTCTGGTATGATCGTAACCTGTAGAAATTTTGTTGTACTTAAGAATATTATAATGTGATAAAATTATAAAAGTTTATTGCGTTCGGGTATAAAAATTTCATAAAAATGGGACCATAATGTTGAAAATTATTGCTCATCAATTTTGGGGTCCATGTCCATTTATGGCAATTTTAGAGCACGTCTTGAACGAGCTCATCAAAAACAAATGAGCATTTGCATACCTCAAGCCATACAAATGTGTAAAAGTGTGTTGGATTATAGCACACCTGCGTCGGGTAACTCAGCTAAACATTTTATTTTCTTTGTTAATTATGAAGCCAATTTGAAATTTATTACATTTATTTAAAAAAAATTTGATTGAGAGTATGTCTAGACAAGAGATTTTATGAGTTAGATGGTTTATGAATAAAGATTTTAGTTGTTTGTTGTTGTAATTGTCCCTCATAAAGTAGAAAAAATATTCGCATATTTGCTATAGAATTTTTGCATGCCGATATTGTAAAAGAAATCAAACATCTTCCAGTGATAGTCGTATTTAAAATTTTATGATAACTAGGCACGCAATTCTGACAGATTAAACATACACACATATGTACATATGTATGTTAGAGTGACCCAATTTTACCCAATGTCATTATGTTTTTGGGGCTTGATTGCTAAACACTTTCGAATACTTGTAAAAACTCACCTGATCAAGTCTGGTTGCCAAATTCAAATATTAATCCGATGCGAGTCTCCGTTTTGTACAGTTTTGGGCTCTAATATTTAAGAGCGTGTTCGAGAAGATGGCAGGGGTAGATTTTGTGGAAAATTGACGTGCTATAATTTGATTAGATACGTGCAAATTTCTAAAACGGTGTAATCTTTTCTAAATATTTTACTTCGATAAAATATGTCTTCGGCGTGAGGGGGCTTTTAATTTTTGGTTAAAAATTTTAGTTAAAATTTTTTTTTCGTCATATCGTACGGATCCCGTATATATCGTTTTGATAAATTGAAAACAGTTCAATCTTCTACTTCGACCCTGTCGGACGCCTCCAATTTATATTCAATTATTTATATTTTGTCGTGACCGCGGGATAAAGGATACCTTTTAGGGTTGGAAAAGTGCAGAACTTCAGAGTAACGAATGACGTTGCTGAACGATAACGTAACGTAAATCTGTCCGAAACCATGAACGGAGCACTCATTTCAAGCGACGGCGGGTACCAGAATTTAATACATCTTGTAGATTATAAATAGGAAATTGTTCCAAAAAGGAAATTCTAGACACTTTAGAGTGTAATAAAGAAGAATTACATACTTATGTATCGATAAAATCGTAATAAATCATTTTTTCATTTGTTTTCTTTACTTTTGTTAATTTTGTCTGCAAGCTCCCTATCCTGTTAAGATACGTGTACACCTTGTGATGATTTTCAAGCATAGAAACTTGAAACTTAACCTCAGAGTCGGTTTCATGAGTTATTTAACCCGTTACCCGGAACATTGATATTTTTAGCATTATTTAGCACCGTTTTAGAAATTTGCTCGTACCTAGACACCGATTCAATCAAATTACAGAGATTTTTTTTTAGTTTTTAAGCTCTTTGATAATAAATTCTAAACAATAAATTATAAGCATTAAGCGTGCAAATTTTAATGTAAAATGTAATATTTTGTAACATAAATTCAGATAAGTGCAGGTTTATTTATTTAATGTCGGTTATCTAAAGCTTTCTAAATTTTACAAATTTGTTTGTTTATAATTAAATTTAATTCAGTTTTTGACTCTCAACTGTGCCTAATACTGGATAAGAGTAAAAATTCCTTAAGTGTATCCGCCAATTATGCTACAATTCCACCAAATCATAATGTTATTGGACATCTTTTTTATTCTGTGAAGAGGTGTAGTACGAAGAGTTGTCAAGATACAGGAGATTTAAAATTTCAATTTTTACCGCGCGCAGGAATATTAAAATTTATATATGAAACTTTTACTAGAGGGTCTCTAATTTAGTTTTCTTAAAAAATATTTGTTTAAGTAAAAAAAAAAAATCCCAAAAATTTTGAGAATATTTTTTTGTTTTTCTCTCAATTGGTAAATTTTAATTTGTGTTGAAGTATCATGAAACGACGGCTGGCCTTTTTTTCTATAACAACATGACCGATAATGGTAACGAAATAATTTACAGATTTTTTGCGCTCCGGTACTGCGCGTCATATATGTACATATATTAAAGCGATTTCAAAGGAAAGTGTGGCGTTTCAAAGATAAAATTCCAAACCTGTCGACAGATTCATTTTTGTAAATAACCAATTCGGTTTCTGTCGTAAAAACAACGGTAAACATTGCCTTATTTTGGGGTCAATTTTGAGCCTTTAAAGTGCTCTAGCAACTTATTGTTGGCATATATAACTTTCATTTTCGGGATATAGGTTCTTTGGAGCAGTAGAAATATTATCGGGTACAAATTTTATATAAATTTAACAAATATTGAGCATTTTAAGGCAAAAAATTGTTGAAAAAATTTGCAAATTTTTTTCATTACCAAAATGCTCGAAACCCGCTCGAATGATT